AGAAGAGCCTCTTGCTGATTTTTTTCCTGTCAGGTGCCAGAAGGAAAGGAGGACAAATGGGAGGGACCGGTTCAACCTTTTTGTTTGTTTTTGGTTGACCAGTTTTCAACCCGACCCGTTTTCAACAGACAACTGTCAACAGTTCATTGGATGGAAAAATTGACTGACATCTAATTACAAATCAGTCAAATTACAAATAGACACTCCCTTTTTGTTTGGGGACCCAGGCACAAATTATTCTTCTGTGCAAAATAAGAAAGAAAATCCAAGATTTTTCTTTCTGCAGGGAATTAATCCAAGACTATTTTAGACCTTCCCTAGTATCATGTCAGTGGAATAATCATTGGGCCCCATTTATTAGTAGATCAATATAATGCCCATCACACCCAACTTCATTTCATTGTAATGACCACCGATTATTGGCTAACATAGGAGCTGATCAACAGTTCAACGCACAAGAGTTATTATGTTTACACACAGAACGTGTGTACAGAAAAACGAGAGTAAACGACTACCAGCCCACCAAAAGAGCCATGGTTCTCTTCATCAGGCAACGGACCGCAAAGCATACTGAATTGGCCTCCCCCCATCCATCATCAGTTGGTCAAGATTTCTGTCGCCACTCCCGACAGCAACTCGGCCCCAAAGCGACGTTTGTTTCCCAGATTAATTTCTCTTCTGCAAGGCAGACCAAGAACACAGCACATGTGAACATGATGGAAATAACAGCAGTAGGTTTAGCAGGGTACATATTACTCAAGCAAGCAACGCTGCAACACCACCAGAAACCCTCAACCCCATAAAAATTTAACACCCAGGCCTCATCATCTTACAGGGTAATTCATCCAACATCCAAAGCAACAGCAAGAATACTCCAAACTTAGCACTGAAAAAACAATGTAACAAATGGATTCTTTCCAACAGCAAAAGCGAGATTTCTCATCAACCTTCCAAGATGTCTTATCAAAATACAAAGATTAAAGTTCTGAGGCGGGCGATGACTTAACTAAACATTTGCATCTACATTGGACTCACGACCTTCACAAATAAAATCCATCTCTTAGAAATCCTTACTAATATCACAAACTTTTGTTATAGTCTTAATGTGAACTGCATAGTTTGGCCCCTGCATAGGTTTGGCAACCTCGATACAGTGCAAGACTTCCTCTGTGCATGCCATTGTTTTCTTCGGCGTCATATCCATGATGTGATCAAGATAAATAGATAGAGATAATAACACTGTAAGGGGAAGGGCTGTGCATATTATTGATTATTAGTTTGTATCGACCTTGTCTTCCCTCCGCGCCACCAGGTGTAGGAGGGAAATTCTAGCCGTGCCACGAACTACCCAAGCCTTTCTACGCAATCCCAACAAGAAATTTATTTAGGTTGCCATCTCCCTCTACAGCATGTATGGGTTTCTATTAAGGGAAGTGATGGTCTCCATTCATTTACTAAATATCCATTTTATTAGATGTTGCTGTCATCAATTACAGAATAAGCAAACCATGCCCCAAAACTAATTTGATGAACAATACTGTCAAATATATGAAAAAGATAGTAAGCGAGATATCCATTCATATACATTTGTTGCTAAAGAACCCTTGACTATTTTAACAAACATACACTCCAAAACTAATGCATTAACAAGTTACAAGGGAGCAAATGTACCTTGAGAACTTCTGGGCAGTTCTTATACACCTTGTACTACATCAACAAATGCTCGGAAGGACCCAAGCCAGTGGAAAACAATCCTCCCGTAGTGGTCGCCCTGGGTAGTCGGCAAGAATTTCATGCAAAGATCTATCAACCAAAGAATACTCACTCCAGTACCCAAAGTTTCCAGTAAAGTACAAGCAGTCTCTTCGAACTCCTGGATGATCTGGACCAAGGCAACCAGCAAACTCATGCCTATTAAAGAACAAGCTACAACCACCAAGGCTGTCAGTGCTCGCCCACTTCTTCTCCCCGGATTGCCACTTGAAAACATGGTACAACTTGGTTCTGACAATTAGCAATATCTCACCATGGCACTCTGCGAGCAAGGCCACCGAACTATCTGGAACTGTCTGTGCGCTAAGTTCATCCCCAAGAAACGACAATACCATAGAATTGTTGTTAAGCTCGACAACAGCAAGACGGTAATTTGGATAAATCAACGCGTAGAGGGTTCCTTTCACGAACATCAGACTGTAAGGGTGGTAGCCTTCGTCGCACCACGCCACTTGCCACTGAGCATCCCCAATGCGGCAGTAGGAGATGTAACGGTGCCGTGGCATGAAGGCGAGGACTAAGTCGCCAGAAAAGAGAACACATCCAATGGGTGTAGGGGGATGGGGCAGGCGGGCTCGCTCGCCTGTGAGGAGATGGCAGATGCGAAACTCGGGGCGGCTGGCGGTAAAGATGTTTCTGATGGCGACACGGCAGCCGAAGGAGTGGAAGCAGGTGAGGGTGACTTCTTTGGGGGTGAAGAGCCGGCTGAAGCAGGTGGGGCTGCGGCGTCCATGGGCCACCGCCACGGGGGTGCGCGGGAGGCGGAAGCGGAGGATGCGGCGGAGGGGGACGTGGTAGAGCGCTTCCGAGGCAGAGGCCTTCTGGTGGATGAGGAGGAGCGGACCCTGCGAGGCGAGGTTGGACGATGACAACGGGAGGTGAGCTCGGTAGGCGCGGCAGGCGGCAACGAGGGCGAAGAAGTCCTCGAGGGTCGTCAGCCGGCTCGCGATCAATGCGATCAGCTCCGGTAGGATGTCCGGCGATGGCGAGGCGGTTTCTTCGCGGTTTGTGGAGGATGAGGTGGAGGACGTGGTGATTGTGGAGGCGAGGGCGGTGGCCGGCGGCGAGGTCCTCGTCCGGCGCTTCCCCGACTTGGCCATTCCTCGCCGCCCCGCTTCTGCTCCGCGTGCGGCGCTGGATTGGTGTGAATGCTGCTAGGTTTAATTAGATTCTTATTAGGAAACCCGTTAATGGTCCAGGCCGGGCTGGGCCTACCGTGTATTGGGCTTGGTTCGTCTGGTTTGTCTGATGTCGTTAAAGTTTTTTTTTTATCAACACTGTCGTTGAATTTGACAAGGTGAAGGTGAAGGATAGGGAAAATTTTGCCTAAAAAGAACTAGATCCTTCCATGGACGCGCTTCATTTCTTAGTCTGCAATACGTATGCGTAGTACTGCAAGCGATTGTCTCAGCACATTCATTCTGTTAGCTCTCTGAGAAGTTTCACCTAAATTACCACCACGAACTTTATCGGACAAAAAATTACCTCCACGAAAAGCTCAATGCCCATATATCGTGTCTCCATTATTGACCAAGAAAAGTTTGACAACCTGCTTTTACTGCAGAAACTACAGCCCTCTGAGAGGGACTAAACCTTGCTACTAGTATTGGCTGCAACTCCATTCGGATACACACGGAATGTATGCCTTTAGTTGATGCTCTCCAGCAGAATACGGGACACTCTACGATAGCAACTGCAATTTTGGAGGATTGCCGGTTATTGTTACTTAATTTCGGGAAGGTCATTTTAGAGCGTTGTAATCTTGAATCTAATATAGTAGCTCATGTGCTAGCGTAGATCCACCGAACTTGTGGTTGGACTCATCTCCCATTTTTATTTCTGAACTTTTACCGGACGATGGCATTTTTTGAGCATCAATTTCTTTTTCCCACCACTTCCACAAATGTGATTTCATAATGAAATTTTGCAAGCACTAGAATTTTTGTCAATGTTTCGCACAAAAACAACTAAGAAATTTTTAATTTTTTTTTACAATTTTACTGTTCATGCATACTTATTTGACCTCGAGCTCAGAATAGTCGCGTCCCCTTGGGCCTTAATTTTATCCTTATCTTCAATTATTGCAGTTGTGTATGATGAGCCACATCCTGACTTTGCCCCTATTAGCCTGCACTTGTTCAACACAGATTGTCTCCAATTGATTTTTGTATTTTGCATCCCTAGTTATACACTCCTAACTATTGATTATTTTTGTGGTTACCTCTATTTTTTACTTTATATATATTCTAGTGTTTTATCGACTTCAAAATTATTTTATTTCTGAAATATATGTTGGCTTTAAACCGAGCCCGTCCAGTCACATTTCCTTCCCAGCAAACCTAGCTAGAAAAGAACTTAGCCCATCACCTTTCCCCACAAATTTCTCATTTTTCTATTGTTTTAATCATTGTTGGGATTTCCTGTCCCTGAAAGCCCACTAAGATTTTTTTTCCTCAACAAGCTAACTTGCTGCCACTGCTCTCACATGGGATGAAGAAAGATTGTTAAATCTTAATCATTATAATCCACAAAATGATATATGTCCCTCTCTATGCTAGCATATATGGTCGTGATCTCCCACTACGCGCTACTATCTAACCTCGCCCATAGTGGGAGGAAGTAAACCGTGAGAGGAGTTATCCGTCGGTTTTAGGAATCTTTTGTAACCTTTTGTCTTGTTTGGGGAAAGTTCCAACAAGTTTTTATTTAACATTTTTCTATTTTTTTCATTTTTTCCTTTTTTTTGTTTTCTTATTTTTCTATGTTTTTTCTTTTTTTTCTTTTCTTCAATTTTTAATATTTCTAAAACTCATAAACATTTTTTAAAATCCTAACCATTTTTTAAAATTCATGAAGAAAATTCAAGAAAATTTTTCAAATTTTTCAATATTTTCATGCATAGAAATGCAAAAAAAATGTTCATGAATCATGCCTAGAAATGGTTTTTATTTAAAACTAATGAATAAAAGTCATGAGTTTAATCTTGCTTAGTAGACAGATAATGATAACTGAACTAAAACAAATAAATGATTAGTATGGAAAAACTACTCTACAATGGCAAATTTATTCTTCTGGAAAATATATATTTTGCCATATGGATCAAATTTAAGCAATCTCAGCCAATGTTTAAAATCTTCGTGTCTGTCGAGCACTTCGATCAAACTTAAGCAATATTTTCTGCTACTGCTTCATTATTTTGTTCACCATGGTAAGACATTTGCTTCTTTTTCTTTTACTTTACAAACTTAATCTCTTAAGTCTATATTAGCTCATTTTCTGTTTTATTAAGTGTCTTGTTTATTTAGATTGAACTTTTTTACCTCTTTATAATTTAAATTTAACTTTTGAAGTATGGTCTTAACCGGTGTAATTTTTTATTTGGCTTGCATAGTAATAATAATGATGTATCTAAATATTAAGATACACTAATTATATTATATAATTAAGTTCGGTTGTGAAACTTTGCTATTTCGTTAAATTTGAAGGGTATACTACATGGATTTTGGTTCTTACTTTTTCGAGACATTGGATCTTTTTTTTGTTTAACCAAACTAATATAGGTCAGAGGAAAATAAAAAAAGAGACAAAACACAAGATTTCATATTTAATTTGTACAACCTATATGAATTGCAAATATATGTTAGTGTGTTTGTGTCTATTTATGTTTTCCTAAATATCATGTTTGATAGCTATAAAGTTGAACAATGTTTCCGGAATGCATGCTTGTATATTTATATCCAAGTAAAGTAGCAAAGTGGCGCTTGCAAATGCGAGGGCAACACCTTTCATGTGATCAAAATAGATGTAAAATAAGTTTGAGCTTTTAAGCAAATATATTCATATTACATAAATTTCAATATTTAGATCTACCTTGGCTTTACGTAATCTTGAACAAACATGAATGCCATCATTTAAACTCCTGCACGGGAAAGTTAAAACTGGGACAAAAAACATGCTCTACAAACACCAAAAACTACAATAATGTTGATACAAAAATTAGAAATCCTTCTCTCTATCTGCAAAATATATAATATGTCAAATAATCTAATATAGCAACGGAAACTCCACAACCAATTCCCGACTTGGCCTTTCCCATGCCTCGCCGCCGCATCTGCACCGAGTGCGGCGCTGTGTTGCCGACCCGTGGTACTGGATATGGTGAATGTCGACGTCTAGATCCTTGACATTAGTTTTCCTGTTGTACGTAACCTGGTTAGATTCTGTTGAAATTCTGTTGTACATCACCTCCTAATATCTAGGATCTGCTCCAACGCCACGCCTCCTAATATCTAGGGTTCGGTTTGGCGTCTCTCTCGAGGCATATATGTGTCATTAGTTTTTTGCTTCTTTTTTGTTTCTAATTACTTATTTATTTTCTTTTATGACAATTATTTTTGCTATTAAAGTTTGTAACAAAATTCTAATTACTTATTTATTTTCTTTTATGATAATTCTTTTTGCAATTAAAGTTTGTAACAAAAAAATTCTTTATGAAAATTCTTTTTGCTTTTAATGATTTTGAAAGAAAAAATGAACTCTGAAAAGGATGAAAGTTGGCATGGTATCATCATTTCACCCACATAGCATGCGCAAGAAAGTTGAGAGGGTTACGGCAAAAACTCGATGCACTTCGTGTACAAAACGGACAATCTCTTTCGAAGTATCAGGATTTCATACGGAAACTCGTCTGTTACAAAGGGATTTCATTTTTCTAAACTTGTTGAACTCCTGACTTTTTGTGTGTTCAAAATGCACCATTCAAAGCCACATCATTAATTTTCAATCCTTTCTAACTTTATTTGTTATTTTTCATGCATTTACTGATTATTTTGAGCTATAAGACCCTGAAATTAAAAAGCAGTTCAAATGAACTCTGAAAAGGTTGAAAGTTGGCATGGTATCATCATTTCATCCACATAGTATGTGCAAGAAAGTTGAGAGGGTTACGGCAAAAACTAGATGCACTTCGTGTACAAAACGGACAATCTTTTTCGAAGTATGAGGATTTCATACGGAAACTCGTCTGTTACAAACGGATTTCATTATTTAAAACTTATTTGAACTCCTGACTTTTTGTGTGTTCAAAATGCACAATTCCAAGCCACATCATCAATTTTCAACCTTTTCTGACTTCATTTGTTATTTTTCATGCATTTACTGATTATTTTGAGCTATAAGACCCTGAAATTAAAAAGTATTTCAAATGAACTCTGAAAAGGTTGGAAGTTGGCATGGTATCATCATTTCATCCACATAGCATGTGCAAGAAAGTTGAGAGGGTTACGGCAAAAACTGGATGCACTTCATGTACAAAACGGACAATCTGTTTTGAAGTATCATGATTTCATACGGAAACTTGTCTATTACAACAGGCATTTCAAATGAACTACGAAAAGGTTGAAAGTTGGCATAATATCATCATAATAGTTGTGGAGAAAGTCTGCACTTTTTCTTCGCTTGTGTCATTTCCTTATTGCGCCGTAACCATGGATAATCTTCATCATTTATCAGGATGCTTGGGTCAGCCTTGACTATGAAGGGAGGAATTTCATTAAACTTTTCATAATCTTCGGACATGTCTGTCTTTCCCTCCACTCCCACGATGTCTGTTTTTCCTGAAAGAACTATGTGACGCTTTGGTTCATCGTATGATGTATTCGCTTCCTTATTTTTTTTCTTTTTCTCGGTTTGGTAGACATGTCCTTCACATAGATAACCTGTGCCACATCATTGGCTAGGATGAATGGTTTGTCAGTGTACCCAAGATTGTTCAGATCCACTGTTGTCATTTCGTACTGTGGGTCGACCTGTACCCTGTCTCCTGACATATTGACCCATTTGCATTTAAACAAAGGGACCTTAAAATCTACTCCGTAGTCAAGTTCCCATATGTCCACTATGTAACCATAATATGTGTCATTTCCCCTCTCGGTTGCTGCATCAAAGCGGACACCACTGTTTTTGTTGGTGCTCTTTTGATCTTGGGCGATCATGTAAAATGTACTCATTTATCTCGTATCCTTTGTAAGTCATTACTGTCGAAGATGGTCCCCTGGACAACGAGTACAACTCATCACAAATAGTGTTTTCACCTCTGAGACGTGTTTCCAACCAACTGCTGAAAGTACTGATGTGTTCATGATATTGAAGAAGGATGCTGGGAACACCAGCTCAAAACTGACAAAATGTTGCACCACATCACTCCTTAGCCTTGGTATGATTTTTGGATTGATCACCTTCTGAGAGATTGCATTGAGGAATGCACATACCTTCACAATGGCTAATCGAACGTTTTTCGGTAGAAGCCCTCTCAATGCAACCGGAAGCAGTTGCGTCATAATCACGTGGCAGTCATGAGACTTTAGGTTCTGGAACTTTTTCTCTGGCATATTTATTATTCCCTTTATATTCAACGAGAAGCCAGTCGGGACCTTCATACTAAGCAGGCATTCAAAGAAGATTTCCTTCTCTTCTTTGGTAAGAGCGTAGCTGGCAGGACATTCATACTACTTTGGAGGCTCTTTTTCGTGCAAACGTTGCAGGTCCTCCCGTGCCTCAGTTGTATCTTTTGTCTTCCCATACACACCCAAGAAGCTTAGCAGGTTCACACAAAGGTTCTTCGTCACGTGCATCATGTCGATCGAAGAGCGGACCTTTAGGTCTTTCCAGTAGGGTAGGTCCCAAAATGTAGATTTCTTCTTCCACATGGGTGTGTGTCCCTTAGTGTCACTCGGAACAGCTAGTCCGCCGTGACCCTTTCCAAAGATTACGTGTAAATCATTGACCATAGCAAGTACGTGATCACCGGTACGCATGGCGGGCTTCTTCCGGTGATCTGCCTCGCCTTTGAAATGCTTGCCTTTCTTTCGACATTGATGGTTGGTCGGAAGAAATCGATGATGGCCTAGGTACACATTCATCCTGCATTTGTCTAGGTATATACTTTCGGTGTCAGCTAAACAGTGCGTGTCAAGGAAATATGCCCTAGAGGCAATAATAAAGTTATTATTTATTTCCTCATATCATGATAAATGTTTATTATTCATGCTAGAATTGTATTAACCGGAAACATGATACATGTGTGAATACATAGACAAACATATAGTCACTAGTATGCCTCTACTTGACAAGCTCATTAATCAAAGATGGTTATGTTTCCTAACCATAGACATGTGTTGTCATTTGATTAATGGGATCACATCATTAGGAGAATGATGTGATTGACATGACCCATCCCGTTAGCTTAGCACATGATCGTTTAGTATTCTGCTATTGCTTTCTTCATGACTTATACATGTTCCTGCAACTATGAGAAATATGCAACTCCCGTTTACCGGAAGAACACTTTGGGTACTACCAAACATCACAACGTAACTGGGTGATTATAAAGGAGTACTACAGGTGTCTCCAAAGGTACATGTTGAGTTGGCGTATTTCGAGATTAGGTTTTGTCACTCCGATTGTCGGAGAGGTATCTCTGGGCCCTCTCGGTAATACCCATCACTTAAGCCTTGCAAGCATTATAACTAATAAGTTAGTTATGAGATGACGTATTACAGAACGAGTAAAGAGACTTGCCGGTAACGAGATTGAACTAGGTATTGGATACCGACAATCAAATCTCGGGCAAGTAACATACCGATGACAAAGGGAACAACGTATGTTGTTATGCGGTTTGACCGATAAAGATCTTCGTAGAATATGTAGGAACCAATATGGGCATCTAGGTCCCGCTATTGGTTATTGACCGAGAATGGTTTTAGGTCATGTCTACATAGTTCTCGAACAAGTAGGGTCCGCACGCTTAACGTTTCGATGACAGTTTTATTATGAGTTTACAAGTTTTGATGTACCGAAGTTTGTTCGGAGTCCCGGATGTGATCATGGACATGACGAGGAGTCTCGGAATGGTCGAGACATAAAGATTAATATATTAGAAGCCTATGTTTGGACATCGGAATGGTTCCGGGTGAAATCGGCATTTTACCGGAGTACCGGGAGGTTACCGGAACCCCCCGGGGGGTTAATGGGCCTACATGGGCCACGAGGGAGAAGAGAGAAGGAGCCAGGAAGGGGCCGCGCGCCCCTCCCCCTCCTAGTCCAAATAGGACAAGGGAAGGGGGGCGGCGCCCCCCCTTTCCTTCCCCTCTTCCTCCTCTTCCCCCCCTTCTCCTATTCCAACTAGGAAAGAAGGGAGTCCTACTCCCGGTGGGAGTAGGACTCCCCCCTTGGCGCGCCCTCCTTGGCCGGCCGCCTCCTCCCCCCTGGCTCCTTTATATACGGGGCGGGGGGGGCACCCTAGACACACAAGTTGATCTACGGATCGTTCCTTAGCCGTGTGCGGTGCCCCTCTCCACCATATTCCACCTGCGCGGAGTTTAGGCGAAGCCCTGCGCCGGTAGAGCATCATCATCGTCACCACGCCGTCGTGCTGATGGAACTCATCCCCGAAGCTTTGCTGGATCGGAGCCCGGGGATCGTCATCGAGCTGAACGTGTGCTGAACTCGGAGGTGCCGTACGTTTGGTGCTTGGATCGGTCGGATCGTGAAGACGTACGACTACATCAACCGCGTTGTCATAACGCTTCCGCTTACGGTCTACGAGGGTACGTGGACGAACACTCTCCCCTCTCGTTGCTATATCATCACCATGATCTTGCGTGTGCGTAGGAAATTTTTTGAAATTACTGCATTCCCCAACAGTGGCATCCGAGCCAGGTTTTATGCGTAGATGTCATATGCACGAGTAGAACACAAGTGAGTTGTGGGCGATACAAGTCATACTGCTTACCAGCATGTCATACTTTGGCTCAACGGTATTGTGAGATGAAGCGGCCCGGACCGACATTACGCGTACGCTTACGCGAGACTGGTTTCACCGTTACAAGCACTCGTGCTTAAAGGTGACTGGCGGGTGTCTGTCTCTCTCACTTTAGCTGAACCGAGTGTGGCTACGCCCGGTCCTTGCGAAGGTTAAAACAACATTAACTTGACGAACTATCGTTGTGGTTTTGATGCGTAGGTAAGAACGGTTCTTGCTAAGCCCGTAGCAGCCACGTAAAATTTGCAACAACAAAGTAGAGGACGTCTAACTTGTTTTTGCAGGGCATG